CTTTTGCGATGCTGTTGTGGAGGCCTGCCGTGCCACTTTATTCGGACAAACCAGGAAAAGTAACGAACTCCTTGTAGTAAACAATGGCGCATATGAGATTCAACCGCTGCTTGATGATCCGGGGTCCCTCTCTGAGTCTCTGTTCTATTCTTGCCTCTGACTCATTTTTGTCTCGCTGTTGCTGTATCGTCCATCTGTCATTGTTGTTCTGCCCTCCCCGTCTCTTCTTTGTCGTTTTGTTGTTTTTGTTTCTCTCCCTCTCTCTCTCTCTCTTCCTGGCTACTGATTCCTTCACTGCGATGAGCATGGTGGTGCTGACGGCACTGGTTCTTGAGATGCCGCTGACGACACTGATCATCACAACCGCTGACAGTGATAGAGTGGGGATGCGGATCGGAATATACGGCTGGAGTCACATCTTCAGAATTTGCTGAAGATTAAGATGAGAATCATGGATGATGATGATGATGATGGTGATGATGATGATGGTGATGACAATATTGACAATGACATTGGCAATGATGACGACGATGGTCAGAAACATCTCGGCGGCGATTGCTAGGACTGCTAGGATGTGTCGTCGCCATCAGCACCAGCACCAGCTAACCAACGTCATCACTTTTTTCGACATTCGAGCTGCAGTTGCTGCCTCGGGGTATTTGCAACGCAGCTTCAGGCATAGAGTTGCCGAAGGAAAGCTGACTCCGTCAGAATTCTAAAGCATCGAATCGTGAGAGAAGGGTTACCTGAACACAGTTGAAGGTGGAAGCGGAGACGCTGCAGCTCACCGAGGACTCCCGACAACTGTCGACGATGCTTCTTCATGGGCGGCTGTGGCAGCAGTTTGCCGTGTGTAGAACTTAGGGTCCGGATCGAGGCGGAAGGTCTCGGAGCTGGTTTTAAATTGGGTCCTCATCGATAAAGGACTCGCTGAGAGGGTGGGCAGATCAGTGAGGCAGCGAACCATGAACACAAACAAAAGCGAACCTGAATTTGGCAGCGCTTTGCCTTTCGACATGCTGGGCTGTGCCGTGTCGTTAGCATGTAATTATTGTGACCTGTGACCTGGGTAGCGATGGCACCCGAACTGCCCATACGGCAAAATTGCAGCGAAGTCCTAGCAATGCTCTAGTCATCACAAGACGTCTGCCTTTCACAACGACGAGAAAAGAGGCAAACTCCCGCACACAGCATATAACAACTGCATCTGAGTCGAGTGAGGAGATGATTTGAATTGAACTACTGGCAGGCAGCGGCTTAACTCGGCTGGTTTGGCCGGCAGGAACTTCCTCGGATTCTTTTCTGAAGAGGAGCACAGGGTTCTTTCACTGAGGCTTGAGCATATATGGTCCCATATGGTCCCTGTGATGCAGGAGCCTACTCATTTCCCGCGGTGTCTTGCAGAAGAGAACTCAAAAGTGGCAGATCAAGATCTTCCCATCGTAAACAACACCTTGGTACCTTGGTAGTTACCCTTATAGACCCCTTTAAAGGAACCCTAACATGGTATTGGTACCTATCCCTAAATCCCTAAAGCCCTGACGAGACTTCGAGTGAAGAAAAGCTAAGGAGGTCAAGGCTTGGACGTGTCATAAAGCCCTGAAACAACCCCTCAAGCCGGTACCCGTCATAAGCCTTTTACGAAGGCCCTGGTTCTTCATACGTTGTGGGCTTTATACATCTCACTTGAAATCTTTCCCCCCCGGCCTGGGGAGTTCTTGGCGCAGGACCGCGAGCGGATCAAGGACTCCCTGGGCACCGGCGGATCACAGACACTGGCCATCAACGCCCGAATGCTGGACTCCCTCGGCACCGACCCCGCATCAAGAGGGCTAAGAGGACGTGTTCGGGACGCCGTAATTTACCTGGACCAGCCGCTTGTAGACTGGGTGGAACAGACCCGTGAGACTGGCAGTTAGTGTCCTTAACTTAGTTGCCCGATGCTGATGCTTCTACTCCGGCACCTGCCCCGATGCAGGCAGCCACGTGAAGGTAGAGCTGCTGCACATCCAATTTCGCAACCCCGACGGCCATTTGCGCCGTCTTATTGGCATGCGCGAGTTCCAGGACAGTGTTCCAGAGCGAGCAGACATGCAAAAACCGTGGTATTAGTAGCAGTCGTCGTTGTAATAGGAACCTCGTAGTAGAAGCTTAGTAGTACAGTATCAGGAGTGGTGGTGGTAGTAGTAGTAGTAGTAGTAGTAGTACGAGGAGGAGGAGGAGGAGTAGGAGTCGCATTAGCAGCAGCAGCAGCAGTAATTGCTTTTATTATTGCTGTTGTTATCCTTGGTATTGTGGTTACTATTGTGATCGTTTTGTTTTCTTGCTTTGTGTTATCCGGCTTCAAGTTCTTATTCTCATTGTTGCTATCATTGTGTACTGTTATTGAGCTATGCTAGCTCCGTTTTTTGGTATTGTGTTTCTTAGTAGTAGCTGGTGTAGTAATACTGGTGCTGGTGCTGGGAGGATGGAGGAGGGAGGAGGGAGGAGGAGGAGCGGTGGAGAAGAGCAGCACCATGCAACAGCTGTTCTTCCTCGCTGTTTGCCTGCTCGAGGTGCAAGACAAAATCCTTGTTGCCCCAACCTTGTGAATTCAAAAAAGCAAGCCGGAGAACTGCACCCGCGATGATTCGTCAGCTGAATGTCAGGATCTGGCTTCCGTGGCGCCGGCCCTGTCTTCCCAACAGATCCTGAGAAGTGAGGAGAGCCCGCCAGCTGCACCAGCTGCTCAAGAAGAGGTGTGACTGAATGCGGGGGGCAGTGGAATCGGAAAGGCAAGGGTAGGATCACAGATGCAGCAGTCGAGGTTGCAAGCATGTTTGAGGTGCAATTCAGTTCAAATCAAGACAAATAGAGGGATCAGCAGGGCTTGGTTCGTTAGGGCGCAGGACAAGGACATTGTGGGTCACGGTAAGATTTCGCGTGCAAAGGGTTCTGTTCGCTGTAAAAGTTGGATGGCAGGTGTCCGTTTTGTTCGACGCCAACACATTCGATATCCTCAGCGTGTCGAAGGGCTTTCAAGCCCTGTGTACCTCGGTCGGGCAGGCGGGCGGGCTGGTAAGTGCATGGAGGATATATAGGACTTTAGGAAGAAGCTCTACCTGGCAAAAGTCTCCGCAGTCTGTGGCTTTCGCAGTTGCAGATTTCATTGAGTGAATCTCAGCAATGCTGCTCCACATTGTAGTACTGTCTCAACGGCCGACCTCATTCAAACGGCTCCCACTCCTGCGCTTGAGTGCAGGCAATGGACTTCGAGGGGCTGAGTGTCTTTGACCTCTCCAAGGGGACCGGTCCGAAGTCCTTCAGCAGGCGGCAGCATCATGGATTGCAGAGGGCGCTTGCACAGAGTCTCGGCCAGGCAGCTACAAGAGGTACTCCACGCCTACGACGAGAAAAAGCAGAGCAGCTTCGCCTTAGCTGGACTGGATCTGCTCGGCGCATGTCAGCTGGAGGCTACCGTCACCTTTGCGTAACCAAGCCGCATCTTATCACATGACTGATGCAGTCAAGACTCGGTCTCTGACACGAGCTTGGACGTTCGTGACCCGTCTTTGCCAATCTCACGCGTCACAACTGCCGTGCAGCTCAGGGAAGACACGGTTCTTCAAAGCCTCGTGGGCACTCTCACGGTAATCACTTTTGCTTCGCCAGCGCATCTTGCCTGGTTTCATTATTAATTGTACAGCGCAGAGAGCGTAGGGCTTTTCAGAGGGTCTGAGGTGCTGCTTGCATTCGGGCTTGTATCTCGAGAGCATCTGCAAGTGCTGTGTGCACAACGTGAAGAACAACTCAACCTGGCAAAGCTCTTGAAGAACGTCCCGCTGCCTAGGAAGCTCACAGAACGAAACTTGGCAATGCTGCAAAGCGGCGCCACACCGAATGGGCGGCGCCTCCTGGCTCCGAATACTCGCTCTCGATTTGCGCAAGGCATCAAGGAATCCGCACAGAAATCTTTTCCAGAACAAGGAATATTAATTAGCGCTCCTGTGTGTTCATGTGTATATGTATGCATATATATATATACAGATAGATAGATAGATAGATGGATAGATATATCATCATCATCATCATCATCATCATCATCATCATCATCATCATTATATATATATATATACATTTATACATACACACCTACACACACATGTCGTTTTATGCATGTGTGTGTCTGTGCAGACACACAATCTCCAGCACTATAAGTCTCAGTCTGAGCATGAGAACAACTCCTGGAACCACTATCTGCGCCTCGCCTAGACTAGAAGACTCCTACAATCTAAGAGGCCGTTCCTTAAAGTTAGACCGTTAATCCCAAGTCCAGGCCTTACAGCCCTCGACCCGAAGCGCGGAAGACACACACAAACTAACATTTTGTCCAGGAAGTCGCAGCAAGGGCTCTCGTGCGAGCTCTCGCGGTTCCCGCGGCTCCGGCAAAAGCCAGCCGCTCGTGACCACCGCTCAGAGTGCCACAGCATGAAACTGATCTGTTCGCACGTACCGGTATCTGGTAAGTACCTTGCATATATGTGGTTTCAGGCGATTTGAATTCCCAAGCTTATGAGTAGTTGCCACTTGCATTGCGGGCTGTGCCCGGTGCTCTGTCCGTCGTCGTCGTCGCTGTTGCCGTTGCCGTTGCAGGTGCTGTTGCAAAATAATGTGCAAAGGACCCAAACGCGCCTTCCCTCTCAAGGCGTGCGTTGGTCGCTTGCTTCGTACATAGATGCAATTGCCAAGGTAAGCAGGGAAGCATTCTCGCACTACGTTCCCCGACGATGTCTTTGTGAGCGTTTCACAATGCCTATGCTTTGGTGGGTAAGGGGCACCTGGCACAGAAGTTGTCAGCATGTGCTCAACCGACTTGGTCCTGCGGTTTTCAAATCTGATTTTTGTAAAGCTTTCTGTCTGTCGTCGACACCTTTTCAATGTGTCGAGCCTGTGGGGGGCTGTGCTTGTTTGCGGCTGGCTCCGTCAGTGCAGCTACCTCTTGAAAAGGTTCCTGCGCAGCAGCTACAGTGGAGTGCCAAATGAATCTGAAGGCAGTACGGCGCAGATGGCGCGGCATGCCTCAAAATGTCACAGGCGTTTGTTGGGGCTCAGCCGGGCTTGGACTTGGAGCAGCAAGGGTTCATAAGAGCCATACGAGCTTCGAACGTGGATCTCAGTGACGGGGGCCAGCTGTTCTTCAAAGACGAGTCCCTTCTCGCCGAAGTGCCCGATGCAGCATTGCTCCCAGATTGCTCTCTCCTGGTGATCCCTGACTCTTACCCATAAAAACTTACCTATCATACAGAGCAACAAGGGGCAATGATGAGACTATGCAGAGATATAACAGTAAGCATACTCCAGTGTGTTTACGCTCATTGTGTAGGTTATAGCACCATCATATCGATCTTCACTGTGAGTGTCCGTGCGGCATTCTGCTGTACGTCATTGGCGTTGTTTGTAACTGGAGATCTTCACTGGTGACTTTAGTGTTTACAGCACTGCGGCCTACTACATAAGGTCCACATTGCGATGTTTGTTTGGGCAACTGTGGTTGCATTACACAGCTGCAGGTCGATGTCACAGCAGCCTAGCAGCTGCAACACCATTGGCAGCATCCGCCTTAACTTAACAAGCTGAGCCGTGAATCTCGAACCCTACAGTACAGCACGAAACGCAAAGCCCTGACAGGTGATCCGGGCATGTTGACCGGTCCTCAAGATTTGATCTATGATCCAGTGCGGCCCTCGTTTGTCGCAATGTATGGTAAGGTGTTGCCCTCAAGTAGACGATCACATAAACATGCATTCGGATAGAGCGAGAGAGAGAGAGAGAGAGAGAGAGATATATATATATATATATATGGTCAGGCATCTGGGGGGCGGCTGGCGTGGGGTGCTGCTGGGGGGGCGGCAAGGGGTCACACAGAGAGGGCCTGGATCTTAAGCAAGCCCTACGCAAGCCATAAACCCTACAACGAAGGGGCGTGTTCCTGTTTTTCTACACCTTAACCGGTATTTAATACCCTAAACCCTAGATGCCCTAAATCCTAAAACCCTATATAGCCTAAACCCCAGACCCTAAATCCTAAACCCGAAACCGATACGAGACCCTGAGGTCAAAGGCTTTCCTGCCAGCTGCGGAGTTGACTCCCCGGAGGCCTGGCCAGGGGCTTTTTACGCCATGAAGTTCGGCCGCTCAGTTTTGAATGCAAGGGTTTAGGGTTTATAGGGTTACATAAAGGTTTAGGGTTCAGGGTGTAGGCAAGAAAGGCAAAAATAATTTCTGGATGTGGGAAACCGGTGAAGTCTGGAGTTTGTGCTGGGGCATGGCCCTGCAGCCTAGGGCCTAGTGCAGGGTCAGAGCGTCAAGAAATGTCAGCTCTGCGTCTGGGAGACCTTCGAAAATCCAGATGGACACAGCGCATAACTCTGGTTCCAGAACGTCCCCTCGAGCCGGAACTCTCTCGCGTCAAGCCCATGCCAGCCAGGTTTGCAACCTGCTATAGCTATGGTTCAGGATATCTCGGAGGCAGAATACTGTTTGGCTAGCACAAAGAAGATGACAGCAGTTGAAGAGCTGGACATTGAGCTCGGGGGTTGGATGGAAGGGTTGCAGAGGAAGAAGGGGGGGGGAGAAAAGCCTGAATCTTGGAATAGAACGCAAAAGACTCCAAGACCATAAAACAGCGGCTCTAATCTGTCCTGCGTAAGCCCATGAACCCTCGCACAGTCACCTCACACCTCTACGCCACTCGCACATCTGAACATCCAGGCCTTTGATGAGATGGTTCAGGGCACCGGAAAATTCGGCCATACTGCGCCAGAACCTCGGTCAGGGATCTCGCCATGAGGCTACCCGTTCTTGTCCAGTAGAGACATTGGCCCGGCGGGCTGGTACTCTGTATGCAATAAGTATCTAGATGTTGAGATAGAGATGGAGGATTTTGATGCTCCTTTTGATATTGTCTCAAACCACGACATGTCTTACGATGTTTGAATAGATCATATTGCTCAAACACCATCGTATTACGTCAGTATGTTTGTTGCAGGCCGATCAGTCTTGAGTTAGTGACATCACATGGGCCGGTCACAGTTGGATATGCAGACAACATAACTATGTATGCATGCATGCATGCATGCATGCATGCATGCATGTATGTATGTATGTATGTATGTATGTATGTATGTATGCACGTATGCAGTTATGTATGCATGTATGTATGCATGCATGCATACATGTATGTATGTATGTATGTATGTATGTATGTGTGTGTATGCATGCATGCATGTATGTATTTATGTATGTACATATGTATGCATGCATGTATGTATGTATGTATGTATGTATGTATGTATGTGTGTATGCACGTATGCAGGTATGTATGCATGTATGTATGTATGTATGCATGTGTGTATGCATGCATGCATGCATGCATGCATGCATGTATGTATGTATGTACGTATGTATGTATGTATTGTATGTATGTATGTATGTATGTATGTACGTATACATACATACATA